TAAACTGAGAGTACACTCTGTCCCATCATGCATGTCCCATCACCACTAATGACCATATTAAAAATTACTGGACCCTGGTCTATGCCATCAGAGACTGGCCTACAGCTGGCATATGTGTTGCTGATCACAAACCTTTGAGTCCAGCAGATGATACAATTTCCAGCTCATCTGACTGTCCTCTACCTAGTCCATACTTTGTTAGTTCATCTATGAAGATTTTTAAAAAAAGCTTTTGATCTGCCAGAAGCCTTGCTAAAGTCAATATACTCAATATCCACTCTTCCTTCATCCAGCGAGACAGTCAGTGAGACAGTCACCTCATCATAAAAGGTTACCATGTTGGTCAAGTAAAATTTCCTCTTCAGAAACCCATGCTGCCCATTCCCAATCACCTTCATGTCCTTCATATGCTCAGAAATGGTTTTCATGATTATTTGCCAGGGATTCCCAGGAATTAAAGCAAGATTGATCAGCCTGTAGTCACCCAAATCTTCTTTCTTGTCCTTCCTGAAGACAACAGTAACATCTGCTTTCTTCCTTTCCTCAAGAACCTTCACCAGTAATCATGATCTTTCAAAGATTATCAGAAGTTGCCTCCCAAAGACAAAGACTAGCTCCCTCAGCACTTGTGGGCACATCTCAACAGAACCCACAGAGTTTTTCATGTCAATCTGTTCAGTGCTGATCCTCTTCTATCAGGGGTGTCATCCTCACTCCTCTTCAAAATAATTCCATTTTAATCCTAATTATATAAGGCATTTCAGTATTTTGCACTAGCTGTCCTAAGGTGAAAGATAAGGATCCATTTTCAGATACATCCTGGTCTCCTTATGGTACTCCACAACAATAATGCAAGTCCTGGTGATATCTTTTCTATTTCACAGGACAGACATGGAGAGTGAGGGCCAAACATTACCTAAAAATGTGGTTTTAAACACATCCTGATAATCCTAGGTAGCAAGACAGAACATCTACTTTCAAGTATTACCATACAATGCTTGTGTTTAAATTGCCAATGGGACCTCCAAAAACCATAACACCATCACAACTGGAAAGGTACCAGCATTCCCCTTACACTTCCACCAGAGATGATCAGCTGTGGACATTCAGGCAGTGCCTACCACATCTAGACCTCATCTAGATGCAGCTTGAATTGCACACCATCAGTTGTGAACACAAATGAAAAAAAGAAGAGCAACAGAGCCATTCACCTTTACCCTGCAGACTACAGTTTTCACCCTGAAGTTGAAAGCCTTCCCTGACTGAGGGTAGTCCAACACTCAGATTTCCTAGAAAATGACCTTATTATCACACTCTATTGAAAGAGAGGATGATTACCTTCTTTTATTCAGGTTACAAAGTCATTACAGAGCAATATTCACGTAGAAAATGAAAACCAAGCAAAATTATTTGGTTCTGGTCTCAATTCATAGAATCATTTAGGCTGGAAAAGAGCTGTCATTAGTTTAGTCGAACCACTAAAGGAGTCACTAAGATTGCAAGGGGGCTGGAATGCACAATGACATGAGGCTGAGAACTGTGTTTGTTGAGCTTACAAAGAGAATGCGAAGGAAGACTTTGCTGCCCTCTTCAACTGAATGGGAAGTTCTGGTGAAGAAAAACCATAGTTCTCTCAGAGATGCAAAGAATTAAGGTAAGAGAAAAATGGAATAAAGGTGGAATACAGAAAATTTCTGACATGGAAAATGTGAAGTTTTTTGGGGTTTTTGGTTATTGCTGTTTTTTTTGGTTTGTTGGTTGTTTTTCTTCTCCCTCCCACAATTATGAGGGTGACCAAACACCAGAACAGGTTACAATGAAACAGTCTCCACCCTTTTAAGTAAACAAAACCTGACTAAGCAAGGCCTGAGCAACATGCTGTAGTTGGACCAGCTTTGGGCAGAAATTTGGTCCAGATGAACTCTTCACAATCTACATGATTCTATGACTACAGGGCCTGTTTCCATTTAAAAACTATTTAATCAGATGTAGAAGCAGCACTGTTAAGGAGCAGAACTTGACCCATGTCCCACCAGACTTCAGTGAAACTTCTCTTGCATTTCTTCAGCCTACAGATCTTGTCTTTAGAAGATCAGCTCTGCCCACGGACAAGACGTATCCCATGAAAGATACCTTCAGCTGCATAGTTAAGAATCCCTCTGGGAAGCTGGAAGTTTGAGTTTTCATACTTTCGTGTTGAGTCTACGTTCCTGAATCTCAATCTCTGGGCTGGAAGGCTAAATAACATGGCTCTGGCCACCTTATCTGCTTAAGGCTTACTTTCAGAACAGGGTTAGTCCTTAAAGAAGAGGTAGCAACAGTAAAGTCTTAAATAAGGCATATTCTGACATATACTTTGTCCAGCTTTTCTAGTTGGCTGGCCCTAAACAGACAAGTACTTTACCAGCAGGCACCCTGACTAATGTCAAGTGCCTGGAGTCTTCCTCCAACCAATGAAAGGTCTCCCAGGACTAATTTAAAGCCTATATGAAGAATCATTTGGAGGTTCTGAATTGTTCTTCTGAAGCACCTCTTTTTCTTCACTCACATTTATAGATTAAAATGACAAGCTTAAGCAATTAAATTCACAAAGTTAAGTCTAGAACTGTGCCCTGCACACTTTGACTTTAATGTATTTGGACAAGGGAAGATTGTGGCAAACGATGGGCTAACTTTTCTCCACCACCAGTGAGACAAAAGAAGAGCAACAGTGATCAAAATTATAGAACGAATTTGTACATGGAACAGTAATCAGCAACTAACTTCAGCATGAAAAAAAAAAAGGGACATGTGATAAGGTATTTATGAAAACAGAATCAGAAAACAAGAGCAATCAAACTCACTGTCAGATTTCCTCACTCTATAAGAAAGTTATTTATTAACCTGGAGAGACAGATGGGTTTACAAAACTAAACAGCAATTTTGTTATTGCAGGCTCTACTCTTGCAGCACAACTTTAATTAATCTCCATTGCAGCCAAAAAGACAGTGCATAATTTTAGATACACATACAACATTTTTGCTCAAAACCCACCACTACAACATTCTGCATCAAAAAACAATGATGGAAGGAATGCCAAAGCAGGCCATTTCCAGTACTCAGAATAAATGCGAACTCTGAGTAAACTTCAGGAATTCTATTTAGGGAAAGGGAAAATTTGGTGTAGTATGCTTCTGCTAAGGAGAGAACTCAAAGTTTTACTTTGTTAGCATTTGTGTAATACCTGTAAGATGGTAAAATACAAAGTAGGTGATCGAGGGGAAAAAAATGCATGTCTCAGAGTTCTGAAAAGTATTGAAGAAATAATCTCAAGATACTCCATAATGTATTTTTGCCATTCCCAATATATAATAAAGAACTAAGCAGCCATTTCTTTGTTATAAACAAAACTATACATTGATGCTGTTTTCAAAACTTCTGTTACATTCTTGAGATTAGTCAACATGTCAAGGCAGAAAATATCCAAGCTAAATTATGTGAAAATGCTCACCACTGCTTTTTCCTACTACTGGATAGTTAAGAAGTATTCTTTCTCACCAATACTAAGTATGAAAAGTTTTAAATAACTGGGGTTGTTTAAAAGATTCTGGGCAAACAAAGTTATAAACAAGCAGTTATGCAAACCAGAATTTGTAAGTGAAGTAACTTTCACCAGAACAGCTTTTCATTTTTTTGAGAAGGAAAAAAAAAAGGTTAAAAAAAAACCAACACTCTCAAACCAAAAAGTTAAAAAGTTAACCTTCCCACATGCCAAATTCCCTTGAAGAAAAGTATTAGGGATAAAATGGAAACTTTTACTCAAGTTGCACTGGGCACTTAATTTCCAGTTTAACGCCTGAAAAAGACCTTTGGCACTCTAAGCTTGTCTATATCCCACGCCCCAATTACAGTACAAGCTGTGTCTACAAGCACTTAGCAAACATCTTCAGATTAGCCTGGTTACAACAGCACATGACACGCTGCCATTACAACATTAAGTCATTACCTGCATCAAGATATTTACTCAAAGATTCATGAAGAGGAGGTACTGGCAGGGAAGGCAGAGAATCTTGGTACTGAAATGTTCGTTCCTCTGAGGATTCAAGCACTTGCTTTTCCATGTTGCAGATCTGCAGCACAACCAAGCAGACTATTCACGAAGCCCACGTTCGATGACGAATCTCCCCACACTGTTCTCTCTGCCGCTCCGGCCTCCTGCCATTTACACGGTAAAAGACAGATATCCGGAAACGTTCCCCGACAAAGCACGGACAGAGGGTTTCTTTTTGGCTCGCAGCCACGAGAGGCACACACACAGCAGGGGGAAACGACGACCAGGCGGCTTTCCCCAGCATGCCGCGATTAACCAGCTCGAGGACTGTCGCTTTCTCTCCCAAGAATCAGCCAGTCAGCCCTGGGACACAACCCGAGACTAGAGGACATCTGGGGAAAAGGGAATCAACCCCCAGCCCGATTGGCGGCCCTTCCGAGCCCCCCTGCAGACCCTCCCCAAGGTCCTCGCCCGAGCCCCGGCCGTATCCCGACCCCATCGCTCCCCGGGCCGGCTGTGAAGCCCGAGACACCACAGCAGTCTTTACAGCAGCTCAGGGCCCGCACCGAGAAAAGCCCGGGAGAGCCCCTGGCGGATGGGGCCTGGGTGTAAGGAGACAGCCGAACCGAAGCCACCCCTCGCCCCACCACCGCGCACCCCAAGGAATGAGGACAGCAGGGACCATCACTCACACCAGTCCCGGGTCCCTGCCCACCTCCCCGGCCGCCGCCCTCGCTCCTGTCCCAACTCCCAGCGGGTCCGGAAGTCGCGCGGGGCGGGGCGGCCGCGGGGGCGTGAGGGGAGCGGCCTCGCCGGCCCCTGCGCTCTGGGCGCGCCGGTGGAAGAGTTTAAAGGACAGCTGAAAGTGGCGCGGAGCTGTTGACTCCCTCCAAGGCAGACGGGCCCTGCAGAGACCTGGACCAATCGGAGGGGTTAGCCATCACCAACTGTGTGAAGTTTAATAAGGGCAAGTGCCGGATTCTGCGCCTGGGAGAGGGCAGCTCTGGACGTACGTACAGACTGGGGAATGAGAGACTGGAGACCTAGTTTCTATTGACCTGGTCATTAGAAAGTTGAATATAAATCAGCAGTGCCCTGGCAGGCAGGAGGGCCAGCCGTGTCCTGGGGGGCACAAAGCACAGCATCACAGCTGGGCAAGGGAGGGGATTGTCCTCCTCTGCTCTGGGGCGGCCTCACCTCCAGTGCTGGGGCAGTTTTGGTGTCCACAACATCCAAAAGACTTCAGGCTATTAGAGAGCTTCCAAAGGAGAGCTATGAAAATAGTGAAGGGCCTGGAGGAGAAGCCACATGAGGAGCAGTTGAGGTCACTTGGTCTGTTCAGCCTGGGGGAGAACCTCATTGTAGTTACGACTTCATAGTGAGGAAAAGGGGAGGGGCAGGCACTGATCTCTTCTCTGTGGTGACCAGTGACAGGAAATAAGCGAATGAATGGCCTGAGGTTGTGTCAGGAGAGGTTTAGGCTGGGTATTAGGAAATCGTTTTTCCACCATAGAATGGTTGGGCACTAGAACAGGTTCCCCAGAAAATTGGTCATAGCACCAAGCCTGCTAGAATTCAAGAAGCATTTGGAAGATGCTCTCAGGGATATGATGTGATTCTTGGGATGCCCTGCATAGGGTCAGGAGCTGGACTTCAGTGATCCTTAGAACTCAGGATCTGTGACATGGGGAGAAAGCACAGCTGAGGCTACATTAGAGGGCAGGGGCTCTTCACAGCCGCTGTCCCTCAGCGGCTGTGCTCTTAACTTCGGTGGTGTCCTTAGCAGTACTGAGACCAGATGCAAGCCATGGCTGGCCCAGGGGACTCTCACCCAGGACAAGTGGCCCAACTGCTTCGTGGGTGGGCAATAGCTCAGGAATCTGTAAGGGTGGAGCAGGTCTGGGCTGGTGGGTTTCTGTGCCACCTGTTAAAATGTTATGTGGGAGGAATGCTTGTGGGGTGTGACTTGCAGCTCCACAGCAGTAGAGTAAGCAGTAAGCAGAGTGATTGGGTGGCTTTTGGAGTAGTCTTTACATGCTGGAGAAAACATTTCACCACATGGTGAAGCACCACTTGTACTGGGAAGGACATGTGAGGCCCACCCAACCCTACTTGCCATGGTTAATGAAGTCTCTGCTTTCAGAGACACCTGCCAGAGTGTCTTCCCTTCACTTTATATACTGAGCTCTTCCTAAATAGAATAGAGTTCTGCTATTTGGCACATTGAAGAGGTATTTGACAGCTGCATGTGTACCTGGGTAGTGTATGTTGAAGAGCTATGGTTTGGCCCAGAATCATAAAAAAAAAAAAGAAGTTTAAAAAAACAAATTCTATGACATAATCTGCCATACTAAGTTTCACCATGTTCCATGACTTCTCTTTGCCTCTGCAGCAGTGGTGCCTTCTATTTGCTTGTTACTCTCTGCCTTTGCTGCCAAGATGGCTCCCTGTTTCCTACTGCCGCTCACTCACTCGCTCACCAGTAGGATCAGCGAGAGGATCAGATCAGTAAAAGTTAGACATCTTGTGGGCAGGGAGAGCAAAAGCCGCACAGAAAATCAAATCAAAACAAGGAATTAATTTTCTATTTCCCATGGGCAGGTGTTCAGCCATCCCCAGGAAAGCAGAGCTCTGTCATGTGTAGCAACTACTTGGGAAGACAAATACCATGCCTTAAAACGTTCCCCCGTTCCACCTTCTTCCCTTCACTTTATATACTGAGCTCTTCCTAAAGCCTGTGGTGCTGCATGGGGTTGTTTTAACCCAAGGGCAAGACTCAGCACTTGGTCATATTGAATCTCATGGCACTGGCCTTGGGACCATCGATCCAAGTCCAGATCCTTGTGCAGAACCTTCCTAACCTCCAGCACATCAATCCTGCCACACCACTTGGTGTTGTCTGTGAATTTACTGAGGGTGCACACAGTCTCCTCATCCAAATTATCAATAAAGATACTAAACAGGAAGTTGCAATCTCCCAACTCATGTTTTCCCTTGAGATGGTAATTATCTCTCCACATTGATGTCTTTCCTCTGGATTGTTGGGCTACTTGCCTAGCATCTCTGTGGCTAGCTTTTATCTCCAATTTTATCTCTCTTGCCTTTCACAACTCAACTGTGTAGACTCCTTTAGAGCTCTTTTTCTCAACTGAATAATTTCCTAAAACATCTGAGTAGAGGTTATGTGGTTGTACCATAGCAGAACTAGGCTGGCAGCAGAAGCAGTAGGAAAGGAGGCGAGGTTATACTGCTCCTTGTTGTATTTGGTTTTGGAGCATCCACATGGTCTGTATGTTGGGCAGTTTCAACACCCTGGAAGGTCCAAGTAGTAAAGTCCATGTTGAGAATGCATGTTGTGTGACTTTAATATTTATTTCAATAATTTTGGATTAGGGATGCTTTGAGCTTATCAGATGCAAGTGTCCCACAGATAGGTTTTCTGTAATAATTTTATGATTTTTTTAGATTTTAAAGATTTTATTTCAAGACTAAGTAAAGGGATGGGCAAACAGATTTCTGGAGGACGATTTCAGTTGGTAATGACACTTAAATTTTTTTTTCATCATCAGCTTTTAGATGTTAGCAATGATATTAACTGATTTAAAATATAGTCTGCTAAAAATGTGGCCATGAGAGATCCGTTACTGGGAAAAATATGACTAATAAGATGAGTATGCTCCATACTTTTTTCCATTAATTTATAGCATCTAGGTATAATGAGAAAGGATTGCCTTAAGTCTTTATTTTTCAAGAGGCAAAGACCAGTGTTTACCTGAACACAGGAACTACTGAGATATGGCTTCCCACATTTTTTTTTCCTGTGGTTTATGCATTTTGCTGTCTCTTAAATGGAGCACCACTGTTTTTTTCTGAGTAAGAAAACTTTTAGGGATATAAATCATAAACCTCAAAAACCTGTAATAAATATTACTATGCATGTAACAGATGTGTTTTCTCTCTAACTGGACACCTCTTTACATAAACCTTTTTCAAAAAGCCTAAGTACCTACCCTGGAAAACATATTTTTTCACTTTTTTTTTTAAGGATTATTTGAACAATGCGTGTAACCAAACGTGTGTGATACAGTAGTGTGCAAGGTACTGATACAGATGCAGAAATAAAAAAATTCAACTGTGTCACAATGTTCAAGACACCGAGATGTTGGTGTCTGTCACCAGTCTGCAGTTACACAAACTGCATTTCTCTTGTGAAGTAGAGGATTACATTGCCTAACTATACTACAGCCTGACAGCTCTGTTACTACAGGATTGCAGATGCCAAGTGGTCAATGCCCTGACCTGTTAAAGTTCCCACGTTCCCAGCCAGGTGTCTCAGATACATGCCTGGTTGTAAGCAATCCAGCAGCTTTGGTAACAGACTCAATACCTACTGTGAAATGGGTCATTTGATTCCCAGGCTCACTATTCTGCTTCTGTGCTTATTGCTGGGAGGTGAATAGACTACCTTACATCTAAATTGTGTGAGTAGACTTGGATCTACTTGCCACATGGGGATAGGGTTGCTTTTTCCCTGGCTTCCAGGATCTGCAGACAATCGTGTATGCACAAATGAGACAGGTCTACTATGTAGGGTCTGCAAGTGCCTGGATACCTGAGAGGCCTCTTAGGTCCTGGACTGCCCTACATACCACACTCCTGCAGTTCACAAAGACTTGTTCCATGATTTTTGCAGCCCTGTGCTGCAAGCACTTGGTGTTTCTTTACCTTTGGCTTTCTGTTCCCTGCAGGATGGGGCTGTTGGTCCATTTGTCCTTGGTCAGTGTGAAAACAGTCTTGTTGTCACTTGTGTTTTCAGTTGTGCTTTTCAATTAATATTTGCCCACCTACTATAAGGTGATGACATGAAAAGAGATAAAGCTCATGTAAAAAGTTCATCATGCTCTGAAAGCCTGTCTCAAATACATGTTTTAAAAATAATCCAAAATTTCTTTGGTATACCACATCTGGCTCCATTTTTAATTCTGCTGTATTTGAAGGATGTTGAAATACTGAAGTGAGTGTGGCACAGTTCCCTGTGATTGTGACTCGAGTGGGTGGTGTACAGGAGGTAATTAGATAATTGGTTTTGTCTTAAGAGGGGAGTGCCAAATGAAGACGTCTTCACCTACCTAATAGAAAGATGTGCAGAGGATGGACTGAGCCAGACTCTTCTTGGATGTACTCAGCAAAAAGACAGAAGACTTGCGGATACAAGAGACAACAAGCATACAGATAGAAAGAAAAGTATCGTCACTATGAGCCATGATTGAACACTGGAACTTGGTTATCAAGGGAGATTGTAGAGTCTCCATCCTTGGAGACACTCAACACCTAACGAGAGAAGGTTTGAACTGTATGATCTCTAGAAGATCCCTTCAGCTTAAGTTATTCTGCGATTTAAATTATGTCTCTTTTCATCATTTATACAGCTCCCTATTAAACTAGAATTTTATTTTCAGCTTATTCTAAATGTGAAGAGATAAAAGCCAGGAAATACTTTCTTAAAATTCAGTGTTTTTATTTTTTTTTTATGACTGAGCCATTTCTTTGCTGATATTCAAGAAAGAAACATTCTTTTTGATTGTGAACACTCTAAAGTAGATTTTTCTGCCATTAATGCATCAGATCATGCATCTAACTTAAAATTTATAGGGAATAAAATAAAAGCTTGTTTTTCTTGCTAAGCTTACAATCTAGGAAAATCTTGATTCTGTGAAAGAATTCTTATGTATCCTCTCTTTGTTTTAATAGGGTCTAAGTTAGATTTCAGGTGTAAGGCAAATAAGTAGATGAAATATAAAGACATTTTGGAAATAATAATAAATTTTTTAAATTGTTGCCCTGTCTTGTAAAAAATTAGAAAAAAGAAAGATATTTCCCTAACCACATATGCTTAGATTTCAAATAAATTGAGATTCAACTGAATGTACTCCAAAGAAGATTATTTATTCATGTAATAGTTCTTTCTTGTTTGTGGCCTTTCATTTTTGTGAATGAAAATTAGATTGGCTAAATGTATCTTTCAAACCAGTAAGACAGACTCTGCGTGTTCTTTCAGGGAAGTTGTTTCAGGGAAAGTTGTAAAATAATCCTTAAAGGCAAATTACTCCATTAGGTTAGCACAAATGTGTCATTTACATCCAAACCTTGGGGCTGTATATGTAATATCAGCATGCACCTGTCCAGCTGGATGAAGTGTGTGGACGCTTCCAAAAAAGGTCACAAAAAGCTCCCTTCGTTTTCAACAGGAGGATGGTGAGACTGATGTGAAAACTAAACTAAAGCATTAGTTTTCAGCTTGATAAATGATGTGCTCTTACTACATAGCTATGTAGTTGCTAGTGCTGAGTAAAACATAGAGCATTATGCCCCAAGAAGCTAGGAAGGGACAGATTGTCTCATCAGCAGCACAAGCAGACACAGCAGTGTCTGGTGATGAGTGCATCTGTTACAGCTTTGACTTAGGTTACTCTCTGAGCCTCACCGTTTCTCTGTATCCCATTTTTGCCTTTCTCACAGGAGTTTCCTTTGCAGCAAAGACAATAGTGATTGTGACTATGGTTTTACTCCTATTCTCATCATCAAGTAGGTCATTCTGCAACTAAGAAATCTGGCCCCATTACTGATATTTTTCAGAAATCTGTTATTTGTTTTCATACTTTATTAGCATATTTCAATTTGTGTGAGGAAAACAGCACTTAAAATGGTTTTCCTCGAGTTCTTGCTACTGATTTTTCTCTTCTGATTGGGTGCCAGTAGGTTTGGATATAGTAATTGACCTCAAAGTGATGGGATAACATCACCCACAAGGTGCATGATAGCCAGTAGTGAATACAGAACTTTCCAATTGAAGGAGACAGAGTTGGTTGTGAGCAGTTGTGGGGATTTTACTATCATCACACAAAAATATTTGTGTTTAAAAGAATGGGAATAGTCCTGTGGAGTCTTGCACCTGCTCTATGTCTGGGTAATTAATTTTGTGGACAAGTCTACTGAATACTTTTTGTACCACTGGGTTATGAGGCCAAACCTCAATGTTTATAAACCTCATGCCTTTTTTAGTCATGTTCTTATTTCTTGTAGGGTGGAGGTGGAATGTCTATATGGTCTTCTCACTGGATATGAATTGCTGTGGTTAAAATGTAGTGCCAGCCTTCTCTGTGCTATGTGTACCTTTCATACAAAGGCTGAGAAAGGAACAGATTCCCATTATCTGTGGCATTTCTGCCTCTTTGCCTAAGCAGGGTCTCTCTGTACCCTACTAGCTCTCCTATGTTTGTGTGTTTTATTCTTGTCAGTCCTGATGCTATGTCACTCACTATTACTCTTGGGAAAGCAAAACTCTCTGTTCCCTAACCTGCTATGTCCTTTCACTTTCCCTGACTACCTTTTGGTTTTGATGGGTGACTCACCATTTGCTGCCCAGGAGACACGAGCAGCACTGTTGGGAGATGAAGGGACCCCCTGAAGAAACTGCTGTTTCTCCAGAATAGCAGTTCTGCAAAGTACTAGTTCTCCAAATTGTTACATTTGGTATCAAGAACTGCTGACAGATACACATTTGGGTCTGTTTTCTTTCATCTTGTTGGTGTAGTTTTGAAATAGGTCTGAATTGCTGCCTATCCTGATCTGGTTGCATTTCTCAAACTTTTTGGGTAGGCAAAAAAGATTGCACGTAGGCATACAGGTGTATTTTATGGTGAATCAGCCCTTACAGATACTGAGCTATATTCAAGGCAAGAATATAGCCCATCATGATTTGCAGCTTCTTGGAAACGGAATTTTGCTACTTGCTATCTCCTAATAAGTATTTTTTCAGTCTTTTTAATAAGAACATGAGAATTTATTCTGGTGGTTGCAGAAAACATTTTATGAAAATTCAGTATCACTGTATTTCCAATTAAATTATCTTCACCCAGCACATGCTGTTCCCAGGTTCTTTTGACACAACACATATTTATTTTATTTTTGATACAACAGATATTTATTCTGGTTACTCCATCATCCCAACAGAATGTAACAAATTATAAGTCCAGAGATGGACAGTGATGATGGATATGAAGGATACCTAACACAGCCAGGCCATATAATGAGGGCTGAGACAATATGGCAGAAGAGCTTAGAAATGCTCAGTGGCACCCTGAGAGGTGCACTGTTCACTCTCTTTACTGTGCTACCCCGTGTCCATCAAATAAATTTGTATAAGTTGGATTAAAACAAAAAAAGGGATTCATTCTTCATGCATCAGATAGTGGAGCTGTGAAACTCATTGCAAGAGGATGTCATGAATGCCACCTATTCAAGGGGAGATTGGAAAAATACATGAAAGAGTAATTCATAGATGTTATATATATAAAGAAACTACTGTTCCTTTGACATCTATTTTACCACTCTTATAGAGAGAACATTGAACTAGGTGGTCCTTATGTTTCCTAGGTTCTTCAGATGGATCTTTTATTTTTGTGTATATTCTGAAAGCCTATGGTTTTAAATGGTCTTCCTGAAAACCCTTAACAATTTATTTTGCTACTTGTAATGTTTGTTGTAGTCAGTGACTGAACCAATATTAACAAAGGGTATTGCCCAATACTATTTTACCATCATTTATAAAAGCAGAACTGGTTTACAGTGTTGCAGGAAGATTCTCTTATATCTAGGAGACACAAGCAGTTGTGTTGTAGCACAAGCAGTTTTGATGACAGAGACTATTGCACCCTGTTGTTTCAATTTACACTTAATTCACTAATTTTCCTATATCTGAAGAGTCTTATTCTAGAATGATGTAGTATTTTCTTGTTTTTTTTGGTTTTGTTTTGTTTTTTTTTAAGAAATGGAAAGGCTGGTTTCTTGTGTACAAAAAAGGCCAGATGCTCTTTGTAGACTGATTTGCTTTCCGTGGTCTGGAGGTGGAACTTCACAACTTGCTCAATGGGGCAAACTCTTCAATGACTCAATTGAAGGTTAGTAATTTTTGTAGTTACAGTAGAAGTTAAGCAATTCTGAAATACACAATAGCCAAATTTTTTAAATTGAATATAATAGTCTTGAGAGTACCACAATCTTTATCCAATGCATCTTTTCCAGAAAGGAAGGAACGAGCATTCATTAGGAACCAGCATTTCCACTAGGGTACATTTTCTGTACCACCTTGAATCAAATTATGTTTGACAGGGTGAAAAAATTATATCCTCAGAGCTACATTTCACAACAGTATAGTATGCTTGACTGCTTCAAAAACTATTGGTATGATTCAGAAACAGAAATACACTGCATATTGTTGATAAGCCAGTCTTCAGCAAGGTTAACAGTGAAGATATGAGAACTGTTTTTAATTTTGAGAGGCTGCAGAGTATTTCTTACCAGTGTTTGCACTTTTTGTATCAAAACTGAAATTTAATCTATGCATTTTATAACAGAGAAATGACATTTAGTTACACTATGAAATAATTCTCATTGCTCACAAGATATATAAGCACTAAAAAGATCCATTGCTTGACCTATTTGAAGAGGAACCAAGGCCATTTTCCAGACCTTCCACAAAGAAAAATATAATTTCATATTCATTAGTATTGCCATTACAGTTTTATAAGTCCTCTAAATGCACGTATACTTTCTGGTAAGTAGTTGCACATTGAATTTTCCTTGAAATTAGGGGGAAAAAAACAAAAAAGAAGAAAGAAAAAGTTTTTGTACGCTGGAGCTGCTTCCAAGAAAGTGACTGAGGAAATGGCCTAGGACCAGGTGCATGAATAAAGTCAGGGCACAGCATATTCTTTCAGAGAGGGTTTCTGCAGAAAGTATAGAAGACGCAAACTTTTCTGTACTTGGTATTAGGTTGTGGCTTAATCTATCTCTTCTAAAATACTTTGTGTCTGACCTATTACTTCTACATAACTGGCAGTATGCATGATGTCAAGGAGATTTGAAAAAAATAAACATTTTTTTCTGATCTATTCATTCCTTACTTTCACTAAGCAGTGAGAGGAAACCCCTAAACTTTGAAAGGGAAATAGTAAAAGGATGTAAAATTTCCTTCTCTATAAAGATAATTAACTATAAATATCCACTTTGCACTATGATTCCACATTTTCCAATGTGCAGTGTTGAAGAGCTGACAAAGAAGAAAACAGGGATTGTACAATTTTAATATAGTTTCACTTAGTAATGCTTCCCTTGAAAAAATATATTTTACACAACCCTCGAACTTACTAATATTGTAATTAATGAATTTGTAGTTGTTATTAAAACTTATAACAATAAAGTTACTTTCAAACCTTAGCTGAAATCAGGATCGTGTGGATTCTTACCCAAGGCATTTATCAATCAAATCAACTGGAGGGGCAATATTTGAGACTAAAGGACAGGTGGAAACCTAATCTCTTGCAGGATTAAATAACAGTAGCAGCAATAGCAAGCAAGTGCACAGTATCAACTGTAAGAAGGATTAATTAGAATAGTATGTATATTCTGCAGAATAACCAAAAACTTTAATTAAAACTATTTTACTGTATTTGTTTGAAATAACTGTAATTCTTTTCCCTCCCTTCCTTCACCTCTTCTGCAGTGTTCTGTATAAGGCTTCCTGGAAGACAAACTCATCTTGAGAAGCCTTTTGCAAAAGACATGGCAAGCATAGTTACTGAAGTTACAAGTGCTTTGTTAAAAGAATTGAAAGAAAAACCATTTGCATTTTTTGGTCACAGGTAAAAAAAATACACATTTTTAGATACCCTGGAGAAGGAGCTTCTCTTTCTGAGCTGTAGGAATAGAGAGTTACTTGTTTTTATTTGCAAAATAAAAATAAAATTTTCCTTTATATGCTTCTGCAAGGATCTTCTGTCAAGTCATCCTAAAACATGCAGTTGCTCTCAAAGACTCTGGTTATTTATTTATTTATGCCTTCAGGCACAACATCTGAACACATGTTTCTAATCAATTATAATTGCATTTATTGTTAATATTTGTGTCAGTGCTTGATCTATATGAATGCAGGCAGTGAACCATTCATGAAATACAGATTTTAAAGACTGCTGAGTTTCAAGTATTCAAAATAACTGTTCTTACTGAAAATTAAGGAGGCTGTTAAGAGAAAGAGAGACTATGAAAAAGTCTTATTTGCAAAATTAGACCGTGTAGGAATATACTTCATGTCAACTAACTAATATTATCTGCATGTCATATATGGTTTCAGCACCTGTTCAAGATAGCCAGTTAGCACTAAAATTAAAATTATGTTTATGTTTTCCAGGTTTTATGTACATTTTTACTTACTTTGCTTTAATTCTTCTTCACTGCAGTTTTGGAACTTACACAAGTTTTGCTGTTGCACTTCATTTGAAAGAAAAGTACGGATTGGAGCCAGTCCATCTTTTCATGTCAGCAGCACATGCCCCAAATGTAAGCTACAGAATCGTTAACATTATGAAAAAGAATTATAAATTAGCTATGAAGAGTAAAAATAATACTTTTCAGTATGGTATGCAGAGTAGTTTTAATACAAAATAAACATTTCTTCCGAATCTGTGGAGTGAAAAGTGTTCTGAGGTAGATGCAGAATACATAATATTCACTGCTGCTAACCTTAGCCTTGCAAGAGCAATCTCCTTAAACTAATGATTGAGCTAATTAGTGTTTGAATTAACTAATTCTTAAACTAAATGTTTTTGAATATTGTGTTATTTAGTATGGCCACTGGCTTAAAACTCTAAAGTAATCAAACCAAAATACTAAGTGGTCCTCCTTACTGTGTAATGTGTGAAATAACTGTCTGGACCTAGTCTTTCATAAACCTGCTGTATCAGCCTCAATACATTTGTCCAATTTTTTTTCTCTCTCCTCATTCTTTATAGGATTTTTAATCAGTTTTTTCCTGAGGTTCTGCTAGTTCTCCTAGTCTTTCTCAGAAAAACAGTAGTGAAGTAGCATTTTTCCAGTCCTGTCCTCAGTCAGCATTTTCTATTTCTGTTCTTTAGTTTCTAAAGCTTCTTAGCAGTCCTGAGTATGAGTGATTCATGGAAGTAATTGTTATTCCTGCAAATTTCCATCCATCAGCTGGTCTCTTCAGTCCTACATTAGCCAGGTTTATGTCTAGTGCTAGGTTTTTCTTTTTCTTAGATTATGTTACTAGTTTTATTCCAATAGTAAGAGTCAAGCTTGAACAAAATCATATTAACAGTTATTTGTCTATATAAGTTTCAGAAGTAGAGCGTACTTGGCTCACTCATAATTTGTCACTTCACTAAGCACAAGCAACTAACCCTTTCTATCAAGTGTTCTCTGGGAACATTAAATGAATCAGCCATTGTATTCTGGAGATGGAAAATTATTGTATTATTTGCTAAAATAATTTTAATGAAAAGATTATTTGAAGTACACTATTTAAAACCACTGATCTGTTTTGTTTGGTACTGATAGTCTGCAGTACATCTTGCCCTCAAAAGCATAGTCATACCTGAAGGAAATGATGAACTTCTTGCATGTATGGAGATTCTAGGAGGAAATTATGACCTTCCACATGATGAAGACACTAGGAAAAATATGGCGCTTAATTTCAGAGAAGACATTAGAATTTTTAAGACATTTTCGTAAGTTTTAAAACTTTGTATTACTTTCATATTTTACATTTTTACTTCTGTCTGATCATGTTAGGTTTTTGATTTTATTTCTTAGTAACTTGTTCTCATTTCTGTTATAAAAAGAAAAAGAAACAATAAACAGGTTTTTTCCTTTGTCTTCTTTTCTATTTGTTTTCTAGTATTTAAGCCCTAGATGAAACACTGTGTACTGCAGCAACTACAACTGTTACTGCAGGAGTGAACCTGTCATGGCAGAATTACAGTTCTGCCTAGGATCCAAAGTTAGCAGCTACTAAAAAGGAATATTCTCATGTATTTCATTGTTTTCTGAGGTTAAGAATCTCAGCTCATCATGCTTCAGGAACACTGCATTCAGCCTCCAGATCCAAGGTCCTCTAGCCTAACCAGAAGAAACGAATCCCTGTGTTCTGGGAACCCAGAGAGCAACCAGCTTCCTGTATCCTAACTGCTGTCCCCACTGGATGTTACACAACAGCTCATGTAGCTGAGTGGTTAAGGCTTCTTACCTTGGTAAAAACAAGAATACACTTGGATGTAGGACCCATTTTGGTCTTAGGAGCCCGACACTGAAAGATGCTGAAATGTTAGAACTTGTATATAAATAGGTAACATCATTATTTATTGTAGGTGACAATTTTTATTGCAGGTTGAAGCTCTTTTTTCCCTTAACTATTGGGTTATTCTTTCTTTACAATTTTAGATCTAATTGCAGTAGGGCAAAGAGCTGAGAAACTTCAAGATGCAATATTTTCTTCTCCTGATGTCCTGTATAATCTAACTCCCAAAATTTGTTACATTTTGTGGAAGAAAAAAAAAACAACCCTTTTTTGTATGTGGAAGCAAATTCCAAATATAGGTATCTTATGGAATGTTTTATGACTACTTTTTATGTTCACAGATTTGAGAAGGCAGAAATGATCCCCTTCTCTTGTGATATTACCTACTTTTCTGGATCTGATGATAAAGTATATGATGCACAAGGTACTTTGCTTAAATGGTTTTCCTCTTATACTTATGCATTTTCTTGTTGTAGTGCACCCGTTAATTAAGAGTTTTTAGAGTATCTCCTTCTTAAAGGAAACAAATCAACAGAGCAGTTTCAATGTATGAACCAAAAAGTTGATATGGATTTAAAATAATTGTTAAATAATAAATTTGAAATAGTTATACAAAATGGTCACAATAATTGACATTTCTCTGATACTTTAAATATCTTTGTTAGGTTGGCGAGAGCTAACGAGTGGAGATACTGCCTTTTATGAGCTTCCTGGAGATCACTTTTATCTGCTGAAACCATCTAATGAAAGTTTCTTGATAAAACACATCACAAGATGCATAGAAAATGCTGGTTTATGAGTATTTACCTCAATTTTAAATGTGTAAAGGTAGTCCACAGCAATTTGTAATAAGTCACTTCTTTCTCTACATTGCATGCACTTATGCCTAGAAGTTGTTCTGTTCCTCCTCTGTAATCCTTTATAAGGGGGAGTTTTCCTGATTTTTTTGAAAACAAACATTGGCTTTGGGTCTTAAAAAAGGTTTAATCTTTTCCTTCTTCTCTTGCATATGTACAGCCTCTTCACTTTATTGCATAACCTTGTTTGCAAAAAAATTACATCTATGTTATTTTACTGTTAGACTTTCTCTGTTTGTCTGCTCCTGTCAGAATGCTAAATATAATTTAATACCCACACAAATCCACAATTCTCACAGAGTTTAATTTATTCAGTTCAAATTTATTTAGATTAATATACAAGCTAAAAATGCATTATATATGTAAATACCCTTTACAGTCAAACAGCTTATGCTTAAAATATATTAGTGTCAGACTATACAATAAAGAGTTAGTACTGCATTTTTCTCAACAGAGTTAGTTCATTAGCTGAACAGTTAATTATTAGTGGGAATTACTTTGAATATTCTAGATCCCATATTTTTCTACCATTGCTCTTGCTTTAGAGATATAGGCACTCATGGCATCCTCCTTTGACAAACCTGCAAAGGAAAGTAGGAGTCATTATCTTTCCTCATTTGTCATCCTATAAACTTGACTACAGGATGTAAATTCAATTGGTGTAACACCTTTTTTCAGGTTCCACGCCTCCCATTTGGCTTTGCCTTTCAAATCTAGCATTCCTGGACATTCTGTCAAAATAAATGCATAGCTTTGGTTATCATGAGATTTACACAACATCAGCTTGATTTTATCAATATATGTAAATGTGAAGTATATATGGTAATACCAATATTAATATCTCCAACAGTAGCCTGTTTGTAGAATCCGTAGAGTTCCTTCAGTTCTTCATCAGTTGGTCTTGTTTTTAATTTTTTTACATCTTCTGCAGCACCATCAAAGTCAGCCTGATGAAAGAACAGAAAGTGTTCTCTCAATGGGTGTATTTAAAACATGAGTTATAAGACACAATCTAATATCATTAGATATTCTCAATGACTCACTTGGGTTTAACCATCAGACAAGGCTTTTTCCATGGAAGAAGCTTCAAGATGTGTACATTTGTATAAAGGGATCTAGGCTTGTACAGCTGATAGGGGCAAGCAGCCTCCACAATTTATGTAGCATATGTGTCTTTTACAGTCACACTAGAGGTATGACACCATTCACTGAACTTTACACCCCACAGTGATCTCTGAATTTTTTTGACCCTGCCTGCACTGTGTTGGCTCAAGTGGTGGAGCTCAAATCCCCCTCTGAATGGTACTGCCCAATTCACCCTCCATTTCCACTGCTCTGCTGGCAGGGAAATAGGTGACCAACAGCTGGCACAGAGGTACCTCATGGAGATGAGTTACTGCCAGGACCACCTTCCACAGCCAGCTCTGAAACACAGGAGAGCACCAGAGTAAAGTATAAATTTACTCCTTTCATCACTGTGAATCTCACATCACCCTGAGGCTATAGCCATTCTCGCTATAAATCAGGTCTCAGGCTAAGGTTTGGAGTTTTGTTTCATGCCGACAACATTTCAGAGAGAGCTAGACTTTGTATAGTGACTACAGACCCATCAGGTCCCTGCACTACTCTAATGCAGAATGATACAAGCGCTTTAACATGCTATATGCTGGTTTCAACTATTATTGTAGCTTTTGAATTGGATCTGCATTTGCAGAACTGCAGTATATCCTGCACTCATATTTAATATGTACAAAACCAGCTGTATTGGTTTTGCATGGCCTGTTTTTTGGTAGTGGAGGGACTACAAGGGTAGCTTCCATAAAAAGCTGCCAGAATCTTCCACCATGTCCAGCAGAGCCAATTCCTGGTGGCTGCAAAGATGGATGTGCTGCTGGCCAAGGCTGGGCCGATTAGAAATGGTGGTGATGCCTCAGTGGTAACGGATTTAAGAAGGAAGATAAAATAAGTGTTTGTGCAGTTGTAACTATGGCCAGAGCAGAGCCAGAACGTGAGAGGAACAGCCCTGCAGACACCCAGGTCAGTGCAGGAGCGGCAGGAGGCACTCCAGGTGCCACAGCCGAGATTCCCCTGCAGGCCGTGGTGCAGCCCATGGTGCAGCAGCTGTGCCCCTGCAGCCCATAGAGGGCCTGGGGGATGCAGGGATCCACACACAGCCCATGGAGGAGCCCCACACCGGAGCACGTGGATGCCTGGGAGGAGGCTGTGATCCTGTGGGAGACCCATGGAGAGAGGGGCCCTGCTCCCAGGCTGGAGCAGCCTGTCCTGGAAGGACTGCAGCCGTGGAGGAGTGACCCACGCTGCAGCAGTCTGGGGAGGACTGTTCCCCACGGGATGGACTCACCTTGCAGCAGGTCACAGGGAGCTGTTGCTCGTGAGATGAGCTCACATTGGAGAGGTTCACAGAGAACTGTCTCTGTGTCACCCCACGGTGCAGCAGGGGAATGACTCCTCTCCCAGAGCAGCAGAAGCCACGGGTGAGGAACTGACCATAACCCCCATTCCCTGTCCCCCTGCACTGCTGGGGTCGGGCTAGAGCTGGAAGGAGGGAGGGGTGGGGGGAACGTGTATATAAGGGCTTATTTTACTTCTCATTTTGTCCTTGATGGTATTTAATGAGTGATTGTTCCATGTCCTTAACTCATGAACCCTTTGTTAAATTTTCTCTCCTCTGTCCAGCTGCAGACGAGAGTGAGTGGCTTTGGTGGGTGCCTAGCATCTGGCCAGCATCAACCTACTACACCAGCTTAAAAGTTTGTATAAATGTCAGCAATGATTTCAGCATGAGTGCTGCAGCTCTGTTTAAATCACTGATATCCTGGCATTAACTCAGAAGTCCGCATTGTGCTTCTTCATACCACCTTTCCCTTTAGTTACAGGAAAGATTAATAATTAGATTTTTTTTTTTTTAATAAGAAAACCTAATGCATGTTTGTCCCTTTAATTGATGCCTTTCTCCTTGGCAAGTAACTTTGCTGGGTGGACCAGGTGATGGAAATAATCAAATATGAATGAGAGCTAGATTCACTACAGCATTCTGTATTTAAACAGAGAGAAAGTACAAGAGAAAGATTATTTCTGATTTTAAATTTAAGAAGGAAAAATGAGTAGTAATTTAATTAGAGAATGATGTTCAAGCAATGTTTCCTCTCAAAAAGGCCCCTTCCTGGTGTGATAAATGGAATTGATTCATGCTAACTAAATTGTAACTATTTGGAAAGTTATTATTATAAGCAACCAAGGGAATTAGTGTTACAAAGCAGATGTACCCCTTTACAGATGTTACATGTTAAAATTAAGGTACAGGATGTAGTTTTGAGATAAGTGATGTCCCAAAATGAAATCAACCTTGAGATGGACCAAGTTGGAACGACTTTAGGCATAGAGCCTGAAAATTATTAAATGTAAGACTAATTAGTGACTTACATAACACAATGCTTAATATGGACATGCAACCTGTGAGGCCATCCAGAGGACAGCGAGGATGAGTGTAAGCCTTGGTCAAAAGACCACCAAAAGAAGACTGAAGACCCCCAATTCTAGGGTGCCGGGGCTCCATTATGACCCGTCGGTGTGCTCTTTGCGTGGGTCACGTCTTTGGTTGCCCGGGGCCATTATGAGTCCCAGGGCTGGGGTAGAGATGGAGGGCGGGGCTGGTCTGGCCGGGATGCACTCTGTCACCTGTGACATCACAGCACCTTGTGTCACAATGGGTGCAGCTAGCAACATTAGGAGCAGGTGACGCTGGCCCAGTACAGCCTCGGCGAGCGGCGAGTGCGCACGCAGACAGGAGGCTGTGCTGAACGCCGAAGGAGGAGGCCGACGGCAGAAACGCGAGTACCCGGGCAGCCGGGTCTCAGCGGGCATCCAGAGGGCAGGCTCTGGCAGGAGCACCTTTGCCAGGGCGCGGTGCTGCTGCCGGGCCAGCGGCACAGGCCTTGCAGCCTGCCAGCTGCCCGGCCCCCTCTTGCCTGTTTTCATTTCCCCGGGGGCTCCTGTCCCCATTTCCCTTATCAGTACCCCCTTCCCATCCCCACTTGAGCCCTGCAAAGCACCTGAGGCCATGCTGGCCACGGCATTTCTCCTCTTGCTTGCGCAAGGCCTCATCCAGTACCCGCAGCGGGCCGGGGACGGGCTGGATGAGGCCACACGGGAGCGCATGCAGCAGCGTGCTGAGCATCTGAACCAGCAGATGGCTCAGCTGCTTGAGGAGCTGGAGCAGAAGAACCTGGAGCAGAGTGGTGGCGCCTGGGGAGCCCTGCTGGTCTGGCAGTTCTGGGCTCTAACTGGAATCGTGGTCCTTCTCGTGGCACTGTGGTTTGGACTCGGGAAAATCAGACGCAATCCCGACAACAGTGGCATCAAGGAGAGGTCCAGCAGCAACTTGGTGGAGGAAGAAGAAGAAGTCGAAGGAGAAGAAGGAGGGGAAGAAGAAGGAGGAGACAACATTGTTGCAGAGAAAGAAATAGAAAGCACCAATGTGGAAGAAGGCACTATGGATGGAAATGAAGAAGGCAGCAACGTTGATGCAAAGGCAGAAAGCAGTGCTGGAAATGAGGCAGAAGAGGGCAATGAGGATGCAACAGAAGGAGTAAACCAGGGTGAGAAGTTTGAGGAAGCCAATGCAGCTGGAAATGAGGAAGAAGATGAAGAAGAAGGTGGAGGCAACACAGCTGCAGAGAGAGAAATCAAAAGCAACAATGCAAATGTGAAAGAAAATACGATGGATGGAAATGAAGAAGGCAGCACCATTGATATAAAGGCCGAAAGCAGTGCTGGAAATGAAGCAAAAGACGGCAATGATGATGCAAAAGAAGGAGTAAACCACGGTGAGAATTTTGAGGAAGCCCAGGCTGCTGGAAATGAAGAGGAAGAAAAAGAAGAAGAAAATGAGGAAGAG